CTGCCGCCGCCGCCGCTGCCCGCCTTCCCCGAGGCTCCGGGGGCCGAGTCCGCCTGCTGCCCGCTGGCCTTCCGGGTGGACCCGTTCACCGACTACGGCTCCTCGCTCACCGTCACGCTGCCGCCGGAGCTGCCGGCGCACCAGCCCTTCCAGGTCATCCTGCGCTACACCTCTGTCGACGCCCCCGCTGTGAGTCTGCCTGAGATCGCGGGGTCGGGGCACCTGCAGAGGGGGCAGCCTCAGCCTCCAGCCCGGGCGGTAGGCGCAGATCTGCCCGGGAATCCCGCCCAGCTGCCTTCCCTGGGTCTCAGCTGGTGCTCAGGGAGCCCTTTAAGCCTGAGTCTGTGGACAGTGGGGACCCGGGAGCGCTTGTCACCCTGTCGAAGAGGCAGGAACAGCTTCTGGTGGGTGCTGCTGAACCATCTGCCACGCTGTACCTGGACTGACCAGCTGGGGTCAGGGGTAGGGGTCTTCAGTGAGAGTAGGGCAGATGGTTTTAGAGGCTCTGCAAGATTCTTGGTTTTGGAAACCTTCTGTGGGGGTGAGGGGTGCCGAGATTGACACCCAACCCCCCTTTTCCAACACACACAGACACATTAGCTTGCAGGGTTGTGGAATGGGTGCCCACCCCACGGAGGCCTTGGCCAAACAGGTGGCCAGCTGGCCCTGTAGCAGGGCCTCTGTGGAGTGGAGCCTGACTGGGCCCAGGTGCAGGATTCCCTCCAGGTCCAGGCTTCAGGGGTGTTCAAGGTGCTGGCAGGAGAGAGGCTTGCTTACCTTCGGCACCTCCAGCGCACAGGTGAGAAGGAAGGGATGTGGTCACCTTAACCGGCTGTGGAGCTGACCCACTCACGACTGTGGCAGACGTGGGCAAGGCACAGGCCCATGTCCCTGCGAGCTGTCTCTAGTGTCCCTTATACCACAGACCGTGCTCTTCGGCCCACGGTCCCTTGACTTTGCTGTGTGTGGGTACCACTGCTGCCAAGCCCTGTGGGGTCAGGAGTGTCCCAGTGCTGGCCTGTAGGCTCCCTCTGCAGCTGGGCAGGGTGGGCGAAGGTCCCTGGGCTTAATGGTGACTTCTCTGTGGGGGTCTTTGGGTGGACCTCAGAGCTTAGTGGCAGCAAAGCAGTGCAGGGATGGGTCACTGCAGTAAACTCAGGGTGTAGCCGAGGTGTATCCCCTTTTCCTAAGCTAGACCCTGGACAGTTCTGGTGGCTTCATGCAGGTCAGACGAGACTCTGAAAATTGCACTAGAGCACCGAGAATCCAAAGCAAAAGGAAGAAATCAGAAATGAAGGAGCTGAACAGAAGATTTCACAGGGCAGCATGGGAAGACAAAGTAAAGTGTTATGATGAAATGTGCAAAGAGCTGGAGTCAGAAAATCAAAAGGGCCGAACTTGCTCAGCATTTCTTAAGCTCAAGGAATGGAAGAACAAATTCAAGCCTCGAGTCTCAATACTTAACAATGCTTTGGGCAGAATATTAAATGATCCAGGAAGCATTAAAAGAAGATGGAAGGAGTATACAGAGTCCTTGTACCAGAAGGAATTTGTGGACACAGAAGGATTTCATGAAAACGTATGAGCAAGAGCCTGTGGTGATGAAGGAAGAATTCCAAGCTGCTCTGAAAGAATTGGCAAAAAACAAGGCCCCAGGAATTGACTACATACCAGTTGACATATTTCAACAAAAAAGGCACTGCCCTGGATGTACTCATCAAATTGTACCAAGAAATCTGGAGGACAACCACCTGGCCAGCTGACTGGGAGAGATCTATATTTTTTCCCATTCCAAAGAAAGGTGACCCAACAGAGGGCTGAAATTATTGAACAATATCATTACTATCACATGGAAGCAAGATTCTGCTGAAAATTATTTTTAAAAAACAATTGGAACAGCACATCAACTGAGAACTGCCAGATGTGCAGGTTGGGTTTAGAAGAGGCCATGGTACTAGGGATATTATAACGAATGTTAGATGGATCTTGGCTGAAAGCAGAGAGTACCAGAGCAAAGTCCGTGTTTCATTGACTATGCAAAGGCTTTTGATTGTGTAGATCACAACAAACTGTGGCTGACTCTGAGAAGAATGGGAATCCCAGAACACTTGATTATGTTTATGTGAAATCTATACTTGGGACCAGGAGGCTGCCGTCGATACAGAGCAAAGAGACACTGCATGGTTCAAAATTGGGAATGGAGTATGCCAGGGCTGTATCCTGTCTCCATATCTTTTCAGTCTGTATGCAGAACAGATTGTCTGGGAGGCTGGTCTCTATGCGGAGAAATGTGGCATCAGGATTGGAGGAAGAATCATTAAAAAATCTGCTTTATGCAGATGGCACAACCCTGCTTGCTGAGACTGAGAAGGACCTGAAGTGCTTGCTGCAGAAGGTCAAGGACTGCAGCCTCCTATATGGATTGAAGCTCAACATCAAGAAAACAAAAATTCTCACCACTGGGCTGATTTGCTGCGTCGTGATAGATGGTGAAGAGATTGAGGATGTATTGGGTTGCTAGCCAAGAGTCCAGCAGTTCAAATGCACTAGCAGCCCTCTGCGGGGAAGATGCCCAGTGTTCTGCGGAGATTCGTAGCCTTGGAGCCCCAGTGGATGGTCTCCATGAGCTAGTTCTGACGTGACGTCATTGCTTTGTTTGGGTTGAGCTAGAACCTCGGTGTCCCCTGTGCAGTGCCCAGCGACCTGGCCCTCCCTCTGCCTCCAAGATGTCCTCCCTTCCCAGCTCTGCCCATCCCCCCAGCTCTTTCTGAGAGCCCCATGCTACCCAGTGCCATGCAGGCCCGTCCTCCACAACCTGTGGCTGCTTCCCTCCCACCCCGGCACTCCGAGCATGGAGCTACTTGAGATGTGGGAATTGCTGTGGTGTGAGGGGCAGAACTCTGTGGAATGGACTACCCTGGTGGACAGGGCACGCCGACGCCACAGTGTGCCTGCGAGCTGGGTGGACACCTCACTCACAGGGCAGGAGCAGAGGCTGCAGCCTCAGTCTCTCAGAGGGAGGCCCCACCAGGGTCCCCGTGTTTCCTGGGCTGACAGATCAGGGTCTGAGGCCACGAGGTGGGCAGCCCTGCTGGCCTACTGTCCACTCATACTCAACCCCACCAGGCAGTACCATCCTCCCGCACGTCCAACCCCAGTCCCTTCAGTGCCCGCATCCCGCCCTCTTGCCTGATGTCCAGGCAGCCCTCTTCCATTCTCTCTCTTCTCTCTGACCTGCTGGGAGTGGAAGGCCAGGCTTTACGGGCCTGCGAGGTGGCCAGCGGCATTTCTGCTGATACCCCCTCCTTCCAGCGAGGTGGCGAGTGGCGTTTGTGCTGACACCCCCTCCCACCAGCGAGGTGGCCAGTGGCGTTTCTGCTCACACCCCCTCCCACCAGCGAGGTGGCGAGTGGCGTTTCTGCTCACACCCCCTCCCACCAGCGAGGTGGCCAGTGGTGTTTGTGCTGACACCCCCTCCCGCCTGCCTGCAGATCTGGTGGCTGGAGCCAGAGCTGACCTATGGCCACGCCAAGCCCTTCGTGTTCACTCAGGGCCACTCCGTGTGCAACCGCTCCTTCTTCCCCTGCTTTGACACGCCTGCGGTCAAGTGCACCTACTCGGCCGTGGTCAAGGTGAGCCCTCCAGCCTTGCCCTTGTTACCGGCAGCTGCGTCCACCTACCTGCCACAGGCCAGACAGCCGTAGAGCCACCTGCTCCCTACTGGCACCTGTCAGCAGGTGCACTCTCCTGGCCGTGGGGGGAGGGGGTGCCCAACAGACACACATGAAAAGGGACCAGGTCCTGGACTGAGAGTGCGGCCCCCCAAGGAGGACACAGGGGTCCATGACAACGGGAGCTCCCAGAGGGAGGAACTGGGTACCACCTGACCTGTGCCAGCCTGCTCTTCAGGAGAGAGCAAGGGCCACGTATGAAGGCCTGGGTCCCCGTATGTGAATTGGGGCATTGGTGGTTAGAATGAGAGATGCTCTGATGGGACCCCAGTGGGAGTTGAGAGACCCCTGACAGAGGACACGGGGTCCCTGGCCCAGGGTGTGGGGGCGCTGGTACGGTGGGCCACTCCTCAGTCAGGGGTCCCGCAGGCTCCCTTGGGGGTGCAGGTGCTGATGAGCGCCACCCGGAGCACGTATGTGGAGGAGGAGGGTGTGTACCACTTCCACATGGAGCACCCCGTACCAGCTTACCTCGTGGCCCTCGTGGCTGGAGACCTCGAGCCTGCCGACATTGGACCCAGGTAGGGCTCGGCCCTGTGTCCGGTGTGTCACTAACCTGGGGGGGGGGGTCTGTGGCGGTGTCCACTCCCTGCCCTGCCAAGGACCTCCCCTGTCACCCAGAGCAGGCTCACAGCCTGTGCACCCCCGTCAGGCCCTGCCTCCCACTGAACACAGTCACCCATTGCCCCCTGACATGACTGTGCCCAAGAACTCTGACCCTATGCCACGTGCTCCTGGCCCAGTGACTCCGGACAACACCAAGAGAGAGCGCCTGCTTTAGGGGAGGTGTGGGTGGGCTGCAGGGACCTTCCAGGGTGTCTCGGCCCCCTCCCACCCTCTGCACACCTCAGGAGCCGGGTGTGGGCCGAGCCGTGCCTCCTGTCCACGGCCACCAGTAAGCTGACAGGAGTGGTGGAGCAGTGGCTCAGTGCAGCCGAAAGGCTGTACGGGCCCTACCTGTGGGGCAGGTACGTCTTGGGACAGGGTCCCCCTGGGTGGGGAGGTGCGTCCTGGGATGTCGGTCCACCTCTGTGGGGGAGGCACGTTGTGGGGCAGGGTCCCCCTGGGTGGGGAGGCACATTCTGGAGTGGGGTCTGCCTGGATGCGAAGACACATCGTGAGACAGGGTCCCCCTGGGTGGGGAGGAGCATCCTGGGATGTTGGGTCCACCTCTGTGGGGAGGCGCGTCCTGGGATGTGGGTCGACTTCTGTGGGGGAGGCACGTCGTGGGGCGGGGTCTGCTCTGTAGAGCAGGAATGTCAGGACAGGCCTGAAGCCGCGGCTGCCTGTGGAGTGCACCCCTGTGAAACTCCTGTCCTGCTCTACCTTGTGCGACCCAGGGCAGCCGGGTGCCCTGGCCAAGCCCCTTAGCCGCTTACCTGCCCGGCAGGTACGACATCGTCTTCCTCCCGCCCTCCTTCCCCATCGTGGCCATGGAGAACCCCTGCCTCACCTTCATCATCTCCTCCATCCTGGAGAGCGATGAGTTCCTGGTCATCGACGTCATCCACGAAGTGGCCCACAGCTGGTTCGGCAATGCTGTCACCAACGCCACCTGGGAGGAGATGTGGCTAAGCGAGGGCCTGGCCACCTACGCGCAGCGACGCATCACCACCGAGACATATGGTACGTGTGGGGTCGGGAGGGTCCCCGAGCGAAGGACAGAGCTGGTGGCTCGGGGCTGGCCACGGTGCTGCTGTTTTCCCCTCATTAACCCCGCACCTGAGGCTGTTCAGCCCTCCTGCTTCCTGCCACCTGCCCAGGTGCGGCCTTCACCTGCCTGGAGACAGCCTTCCGCCTGGATGCCCTGCACCGGCAGATGAAGCTGCTTGGGGAAGATAGCCCAGTCAGCAAGTTGCAGGCCAAGCTGGAGCCAGGTACCCTCTGGGAGCCCCCTCTGGGACCACATAATAAGCCTGAATAAGGGGCTGCCTGCTTCTGCCCCAGGAAGCTCCCTCCCCTCCAGACTCCCGTAGCTGTCCCCCTGGGCTGCAGGGCATCAGGTAGCCATGGCTTTGCCACCTTGTGGGGAATGTCAGTAGATATTTAGACACGTGAGGACAGTGGTGGCCCTCAGCCTTTCTCCAGGGCCCAGACCACTGTCCCCTCCCTGTCCTGGGGGACACATGTGTAGGCTAAGCCAGGTCCTTCCTTGTAGGAGTGAACCCCAGCCACCTGATGAACCTGTTCACCTATGAGAAGGGCTACTGCTTTGTGTACTACCTGTCCCAGCTCTGTGGAGACCCTCAGCGCTTTGACGACTTTCTCCGCGTGAGCAGTCCCCCCACCCAGAGTCCCAGCGGGCATGGTGCTGGATGGTGGTGCTGGAAACCTTTCTTTCTCAGGGCACAGAGCCGTGGGGGGTCTGAGTACCCCCAGGACCCTGTCTACCTGGGCTTAGAGGAGCGGCTGCTTGCTGCCTCCCTTCCCTGGCCCACCAGCGACCCTCTGAGGGGGCAGGCAGGCCTGGGCATGTGCCTACCCCCCTGGTCCCTGAGGCCCTGCTTTGTCCTGCAGGCTTATGTGGAGAAGTACAAGTTCACCAGCGTGGTGGCCCAAGACCTGCTGGACTCTTTCCTCAGCTTCTTCCCGGAGCTGAAGGAGCAGAGTGTGGACTGCCGGGCAGGTGAGGGGTGGGCATGACAAGCCTCTGCTAGTGCTTGGAGCCTGACGGTCCAGAGGGCTTCCTAGAAGAGATAACATGTAGGCCATGAGGCCAAGTCTGGTGGTCACAGGAAGAGAGCTGAGCAAGCAGTGCACATCCTGGGGCAGGAGCGGAGCTCAGGGCTTTCCTGGAGCTGGCCGAGGCCTGCAGCCATGTGATGCCCATCAGGGTGACAGCGGTCTGGGGGTTGGGGTCCGGAGGAGGGACTGGAGGACCTCATGTCTAAGGAACAGCTGTGATGAGCTAGAGGGCAGTGAGAATGGTGGGCGTCCAGGGTGGCTCCTGATTCCTGGAATGTGGGCAGAGGATGTTTGGGATGTTCCCTGGGGCTAAATGTGGATGGCTGTTTGGGAACTTACTGCCCTGTACCCTTTGCTGGCTCAGGGGCCCCCTAGTTTGGGGAGGTTCAAGCTCTCAGTGCCCTGAGTCCAGTAGAGACTTGTGAGGTGATTGAGGGTCCCATCAGTGCAGACGCTGGGGCTCAGGGTCACTAGGAGCTCTGGGGTTGGAGTGGGCAGCCTCACCCTGCCCGTGGAGACTCGAGCACGCCTGTCCCCGCCCTGCAGGGCTGGAGTTCGAGCGCTGGCTCAATGCCACAGGCCCTCCTCTGGCAGAGCCGGACCTGTCTCAGGGATCCAGCCTGACCCGGCCAGTGGAGGCCCTCTTCCACCTGTGGACAGCAGAGCCCCTGGACCAGGTGGCTGCCTCAGCCAGCGCCATCGACATTTCCAAGTGGAGGACCTTTCAGACAGCACTCTTCCTGGACCGGCTGCTGGATGGGTCTCCACTGCCTCAGGGTGGGTCCTGCCATCCCCATTGACCTGGGTGGGTCCCTGAGGCCCCATGGAGGAAGAGGCATGCCTGGGTGACACTGATGTCCTGTGCTCTGCAGAGGTAGTGACCAGCCTGTCTAAGTGCTACTCTTCCCTGCTGGACTCGATGAACGCTGAGATCCGCATCCGCTGGCTGCAGCTTGTGGTGCGCAATGACTACTATCCTGACCTGCACAGGGTGCGGCGCTTCCTGGAGAGCCAGGTGCGCTGTGCCCCGCCCAGGCGGGCCCACGACCTGCCTGCCTCCCCGCACCCCCTCCGCCCCCAGCCCGCACTGCCCTCCCACTGCCCACTCCAGCCTCCACACCCTTCCTACACCCGGGAGGCTGTCCACTTGTGCTGAGGGCCCAGAACTTTTCAGAGAACAGAGTTGGATGAGGTGGGGTCCGAGTTCATTGTGAGGAAGGAGCCAGGTGAGAGGGTTATGGGGTCAGGGCATTAGCCCACCAGCTTCATAGAGGCCACGTCCAGAGGGCTGTTGGGTGTGGAATAAGCTGGGGGTGGTGTCAGCCCAAGGCCGTAGGGAGGAGTGTGCCTGCACTAGGGTACGGCCAGGGCTAGGTACTGGGGGTAGTCCAAGCTCCTTGGACAGAGACCTGAGATACCCTAAGGTCCCTTGGTCAGGACCTCATTTTAGAGGTCCTCTGGGTGGAGTGGGTCAGGCCTGACCACGATCTGGAGGCAGTGTTTGGGGCGGCGGACTGAACGCACCCTCCGGGTCCTCTGCAGATGTCCCGCATGTACACCATCCCTCTATACGAGGACCTGTGCACTGGTGCCCTCAAGCCCTTCGCGCTGGAAGTCTTCTACCAGACGCAGGGCCAGCTGCATCCTAACCTGCGCAGAACCATCCAGCAGATCTTGTCCCAGGGTCTGGGCCCGGGCATGGAGCTGGCCACAGAGCCTGGAGCAGAGCGGGGCCCGGACACGCCAGCCCTGCTGCTTGGGGACGAGGCCCCCAGCAGTGCCATCTCTCTCAGGGACGTCAACGTGTCTGCCTAGCCCCAAGCAGGCTGCCCACAACCTCCCAGACACCACGATGTGCCTTCTGGGGCGCGGGCTGCCAGGACTGCGCTGGGTTCCATTCCTGGGGATGCAAGTGCCAGTGCGCAGCATGGCATCCTCACCCACCAGCCGTCCAGCTCTGCAGGATCGGGCAGCGGCCACCCGTGCACCTGAGCCCGCCGTTCTGCACGCTGAGGCCGCGCTCAGTCCAGACTCCGGACCAGAGGATCAGGTGTCTACACCAGGCCCCTGGGGCGACCGACACACTGTGCCTTAAATCAGTGGAAGCCCGCGCTGCGCTCCTGCAGAGCCTGTCTGGCAGAGAGCCAGGGGCAGAGACAAGCCCAATATGCTTCCGAGGCGTGGGGCCGGCCAGGGGACACCAGGGAGAGGCCACAGGTCCCTGGAGAGGGGCCCTGAACTGAGGAAAGCCTGCCTTAGAACCGGTGAACCTGGGTTCCAGGCCTGGGGGACTGAGCAGGTGGGCACACGGGCAAAGCAATACCGCAGGGAAGCGGCAGGTGGCGATGGTGCTCTCAGGTCCCCGTGCTGCAGAGGCGCCCAGCTGAGCTGGGGTCTCCAAGGACCACTGGGCTGGGGGCCTCTGCTGAGCCCCGCGCCGCGCCTGCGGCGTCACCGGGACCGTTCCATTAAACCTCCATTCTGCAAACCTGCCCTTCCTGATGTCTGTCCTCTGCATCCACGCCCAGGGTGTGGAGGGCTGGTCACACACAGCTGGGTGTTGGCAGAGCGTGATCTCAGGTGCACGACCCCTGGGAGGGTCAGGACATACGGGATGGGCTGAGTGTCTTCCCAGCAGTGAGCTGCTCTGGGATCTTAGAACAGGGGCCCCACGTGGGCCAGAACTTCTGGCTGTATGAAGACTACAGACCTTTCCTGTTAACAGACACAGGGATACTCAGGGCCCTTGCAAGCTTCAGCCCCTAGCAGACCTGGGCTGGGCCTGCCCTCACCATATCAGACCAGGGTGGGTTCCTTGTCACACCTTTTTGCTGAGACTGGACAAACTCTGGCCTCAGAAATGGGCTGCCAGCCTGTTATGTTGTGCACTAACCCTACAAGGGCACTGACCGGCCTCCTGAGGACTCTGCCACTGGCACACTGTACCACTCTGCTTTCCCAGTTGGATGATAAGGTGGACACTTAGTCTTCACCAGGTTTTGTTAGAAGAAAACACGGCTTCAGGCTCAACCAGGTCTGCCCCAGGGTCTCCTAGGATGGCAGTGGGTGCTGCCCCACAGCCCAAGGTAGACCTTTCTGTGACACCAGCAGCTGGGTATCCCTTTGCTTGAGGGGCTGTCCCTTTAAATGTCCATTCGCTGGGGCTTGATGGCATACTTATGTTTACAAAACAATGAATAAACGGGTGTCAGGAAACAGAATCAACTTTATTTGAGGTCGAGTTGGAGGATGTGGCTAGGACTCGGGCCAGGGTGGCCGCTTGCCCTTCAGTTATGGGACACACACCTCGTCACCGAGAGTAGGTGTCCGAAAGGCCTGGCCATGTTCACCGTGGCATGGGGCTGGGGTTGGAGGGCACTGCTCATGGGCGTCCGGGAGCCCCGGCATCCCGGAGGGCCTGGATATACGGCCTCTTCGTTGATAAGTTTTGTCGAGCTGCCTTGGACTCCCAAACCGGAAGATGGGGTCAAGGCAGCAGGATCAGGAGGCCAGCCGGTCCAGCCTCTTGGAAAGGGCTGTGGCTCAAAGCAGGGGCCAGGGTGGGCACTTGGAGCAAGAAGGGGTAAAATCGGCCTGGAGATGCAAACAGCCAAGGCGCAGCTGTCGGCAGGCCGGGGCTTCTCCTCCCCGCCCGCCCTTCTCTGCGCGTTCCCCGACTTCGGAGGGGCCAGCGGAGCCACGCCTCTCCCTGGCTGCCTGCCTTCCAGGGCGGACGCACAGGGCCAGCATCCTCCAGCACGGGTGGACCTGCTAGGTCCTGCAATCACAGGCACCCCGCAGTCCTGAGCGTGCACGAACCGCACGTCCAGCTACCAGGGCCCGAGGCCCGGCGCTCGGGGGCCCGGGAGGTTCTCGGCGGGATGCTCCGGCCTCGCCCCGCGCACTCGGGACCAGTGCATTTCGTCCCAACCTGCCAGATCACTGGCCCAGGAAGGCCCCTCCCCGAACGCCACCAATTCCCGAAGGTGCCAGCAAACAACGGAGGCAGCGGTGCCCACCATCGCAGCCCTGCCAGCACCATCCGACCGGCAACCACCGCGTCCAGGAAGAGGCCGCGGCCACACCGGCTCCCAGAGCCGGAACGAGACGCATTCTGGGAGGCCGCGCTGCATGCTGGGACCTGTAGTCCACACGCCAGCCACCTCCCTTCAGGTCAAGCGTCCTCCAGTCCCAGCGTTCCCTCGCCTGGCCTGAGCCGAGCTGCCCAGGACAAGATGCCCAACAGCCTCCCGGTGTAAGCGCCGTGGGAACGACTCCCAACCCCCTGCAGACCCCAGAAGGAGCACCAGGAGCCGCCAGGTCTCGCGAGAGCCAGCCGCGTCGCCCCGCCCCCGGCGCGCGGCCGCGCAGCCACGCTGACGTTCAGCCGCGCAGGGCGGGGCTGGCGGATCTCGAAGGCGATTGGACCAGAATGTCATGTGGTTCCTAGCGCCGCCTCCGGCTGGCTGCTGTCCATACCCGCGGTTACCCGGGCGACCGAGCGGCCGGCCCCCCGCGGGTAGCTGGCCTGCTGGTTTCGGGGGATTGCGGGGCAGTGTGGGGAGGAGGGCAGCGGGGACCGGCCGGCGTCCCGCCGGGGCCGCGCTCGGCAGAGGACGCGGGCTGCAGATGGGAGCCCGGGGCGCGGGAGACGCGGGCGCGTCGGCGGAGGAGCCGGCACCGGAGCTCTTCCGGGACGCCGCCTTCCCGGCCTCCGACGCCTCGCTCTTCTCCGACTTCTCCACGCCGCTGGCCCAGTTCCGCGAGGACTTCACGTGGCGGCGGCCGCAGGTGGGCCTGGCGGGCGCGCGCCCTCGGGGTCGGCGCGAGGCGGGCAGCCGGGTCAGCGGGGCGGGCAGTGGGGTGGACAGCGGGGCGGGCAGCGGGCAGGCAGCCAGG